CCATGTAATTTCTTCAGAGCACAATAGAATTTTACTTTAAATCGTTTGTGTCGTAAATTCTTTCGAGTTGTGGACATTTCGTTTTATCAAATTTCTGAGTAAAGACTGATTTTCTAAAGGATTATTCGATTCATAGAGTCTTAGCGCGACGATTATTACATTACATATTTTTCAATTTGTAGAAACTTAAACAAAATAACCGACTCGAAGTTGCGTAAAAGTTATATTGATAAGACAGAATACTGCGAATTGTCCTGGTGTTCGAAATACATATGTATACTATTCCATTTACTACAAACAATTGACGATCGTAGTTGTCTACTAAAAATAATAAAATTAACAACTTGCAGAAATGAACATCAATTTACGGAGGCCAAGCTACTTCTGAATTCGAGATACAAGTGACAAATAATCCGAATGAAAGTATGTTCATATTTCAATCCGAAGGAAGGCTTTAATAGAGGTTCGAATTTATTAATATAATTACTTCTTTTTCGCGTATGTTTATTAAATCAACAATATCAGAGGTTGAGTTCATTTAAATTTCCACGACAATGCTAATGAAAGAACAAGTCCGAATATGTACTGCTCCAGAAATGTAACTACACGCGATCGGTGTTTTGTTCTAACAATAGTGGGGATCAGATATGGAAATATCTTGTTTACTACTTGCACTGTTCGAAAGGTACGTTCTACTCGGCTTTTATCATCAATAACTTACATTTCTCGAAAGGATGTAGCGCAACTTGAATGACCTCCGGGAGGATCCACCGCATTGCGGTGTTTAGTCGACACGATGGTTACGCCACTGCGAAGGAGACAACCGCATGTGTACGTAAATACGTTCGTACGTATGTGTATTTACGGTCGTGGCGTATCGCGTATCGAGTCGCCGCCATTCGAGCGGTTAGCGCCTGCGTACATCTTGTTTACAACTGCGGAGCTTACCATACACATGACCTTTACAAGATGGACATGAGCGCCTATTTAGCTGTCTACGCGTGTGACGGAAAAAAGTTCCAAATACGTGCGTGTCGTTTGTGAACGTGGTCGTGTACAGGAGGAACCATCGAATTCAGTGAATTTTAGTTCGATTATTGTGAGGAATAGTCGAGCCACAGGTTCGTGATCACAAGTGACGCGGTATTTGTCGCTCGCACGCGGGCGGAACGGGGAAGAGAGGGATGGTGGGTACGAAAGGAGACCGAAATTTTGTACCTCGAGCAGATGCGATTATCATGAAGAAATTTCGCGCGTGTCCGATCCAGAGAAACCGTGCACGTTGCTGCAAGGTTATTAACAGCACCGTCAGTTTCGCTCGTCTGTGTTTCCTTCCGTAAAGTGCTCGGGACACAGGGGTGTGGAAAGAGAAGTGCGTGTTCTCGCATCGACCTGGAATGCAGCCGTGTTTTGATGTGCCTAGGCATTGCGCATGAAAAAATTCTCCTGCCCTTGACAATAGCCTATTTACCCGAATCATACCGCCTTTATACCGCGCCGACCAACGATAACAAGGGTTCAACCACCCACCTGCGTGTGCGTCGCCTGCGTGTCCCTCTCTTTCTCTACCTCTCTACGTATTTCCTCTAAACGTACTCGCAAACGAGCAAACAAACGAGTGGCCAGGAACGTGCGCGCGCGCTCACGCTTCCGCGTGTGTTGTGTACACGTGAACACGCCCGCGTGTGCCTGTCTCTCTCTTTCTCTCTCTTGTATCGTCTCGTGTGTACAACCGTTTCTATATATGTGCCGACTGCGTGTATGTATACGCGTCACCATTGTGGACCACGCAGTAAATTGTGTTATTCGACGCGATAAACAGGTGCACGAGCCTTGTTGCCCAGAAAAACAATTCTCGGAGGTTTCGCTGTTCACCTGATAAAGATACTCGGACGAGTAAAATGCGAGAGGCGTAAATGCTTACGAATATTTTTCAACCGTGTAAGACGGCTAAAGTCCTAAAGGATTAGGATATACCAGGGTCACGAATTCTGGCGGGCGAAATTCGAGGAAAACGTGGGTGACAGGTGGAACTCGGACCTTCAGTGAACCGCCATCGCGGAATACGGAGCAAGTACATGATTCGTGTTTTACCAACAATCCGATGTAAATTGGTTTACGACAGTCAACGGATACGCGTAACAGTTTTGGAAATCTTTAAATGTCGGCAAACGTGTGACTAGTTAATAATACGTATGTACTTATATTCTCGCCCTTAGCACGCCTGTGTACGACGCCCTTAGTACGCGTTGGGTACACATGCACCGTGGTGGCGTGTTATTGCTTATTTACCCCCGACACGTGCTTCCACCGTTAGCGTGCTTCGAGTACAACGATATCGACGGCGACCTTTTCACGATAAAAGCAGGACGACAGACACGTTCTGCGTAATCAAACAATACGAGAAAATCGCGCGAGTTTCAAAAATCCTCCACCGAATTTCTGGCATGTGTATGAAAGTTATGAAACGTTGGTGGACCAACTCGGATATCTTTGTTGTGTTTCTTGAATAATAACCATCCCAAACAGAAGTGTTTCGTCGGCGACCTTTTCACGATAAAAGCAGGACAACCGACACATCGTACGTAATCGAGAACAATACAGTGAATTACCGCGATTTTCGAAAATCTTCTACTGAATTTCCGGCATGTGTGTGAACGCAGTGAAACGTTACTGGATTTATTCGGATATTTCCGTTGTGCTACTCGAGTAATAACCGTCCGATCTCTTTCAAAAACGTGGACGGGTGCTGCAAACATTCTGCTACAATGAAACATCGGGATAATATGTTCTGGTGCGAGACGCGTACGATGAATTGATCACCAATGACCCGCCGTACCATGTAAATGGTACAAAATAGTGTCACTTGAGGACTCGCAAGATTCTTCACAACGACGGGCTTTTTGATCGTCATCGCGGCGATGTCTTCGGGCAGGGGTATAGTCTCCCCTTCAGGAGGTCCCGTTGTTCGCTGCGGACATGTAAAGAAACTAAAAACCCAAAAGAAGAAATTCTTCATTCTAAGAGGCGAGGCGCCAGGATTCCCCGCCTGCCTCGAATATCATGATAGCAAAAAGAAGTTCGAGAGCGGGCAACCGCCGAAGCGTAGCATCTTGCTAAACGGCTGTTTTAATATCAATAAACGCGTGGGCACCAAACATAAGCACGTTATCGCGTTGTACACGAAAGACGAATGCTTTTGCTTGATGCTCGAGAACGAAAAAGAGCTGAACGAATGGCTAAAGGACATGCTTTTACTTCAGAGCGGAGATGTGCCCGATGGAGAGCAACCACGGCCTATATTTGGTAATGTGCTATTACGGTTTGAATTAGAATTAGACCGCATATTGGAGACGAACGTTTCACGCGTAGAAAAACACGTTGGCATTTCTCGAGAAACGTTTCCCTCGGTGTTCCAAAATCCGAGTGACATCAAGTACTGATGTTTTGATGTTTCGGACCTGTTGTTTACCTGTTTTTTAAATTCGTCTCTATCTGTATTATCAGGCTGACAGATTAGTGTTTCTGGCGGTAAATATGAACAAAATTTCGTAGACAACGATTTTTCTTTCGAATATTTGTTTGACGATATTAATATGATCCAATAAATGACAAATTCATAATTTTTCTTTTCTTTTCCTTTTTTCTTCTTTGTGTGAAAGAACATTATTAATTTCATATACATATCTACCAGTACACGTTATTGTTTGCGGTATACGTATGTAAATATTTATATGATTTGCGAATGCAATTTATTGTATTCATTAAGCAATAATCATTAAGGAAAAAATTAAATAAATAAAGATAATATGTTTTGATTGATTATATTGAAATTAGTACTGTTGATACTCATAAATTAGATTTAAATACAAATTGCAAATATAGTATTCACTAAAATTATTCTGTTTTTTAACTTTTATTGATGAGAGTATAGTTCATGAAATCTGGAAGATCTTCTTTTGATAATTTTGTATTTGTAATACTATAATTATATAATTGAATAATATATTTTTGATGAGAAGAGAATAATGAATATAATTGGTTTCGCAGTACTATGTTATATATTATCAATTATAGTGAGATATAAACATAATATTTTATTTCAGAACATGTATGGCAAGTTATAATGCAGAAAAAAGGACTTGGTGAACGAAAGAATATTTATGGTCCCTATAGGCTATGTTTAACTGATCGAATGTTAAGTCTGGTGAAAAGTGGGGGAGCAGATAGTTCAGATACTCTTGATTTTCCTGTAAGCTCACTATCTTAATAAATGACATAGTCTGAGTTTTCTGATGGAACATTTTTCACTTAAGAAACATAAGTAATGGCATATTTTTATTTCATAGCTGGTTTATATCAGACGATGCGGGCATATGGATCGCATCTTCTATATGGAAGTAGGTCGTTCAGCAGTTACCGGTGGTGGAGAATTGTGGATGGAAGCTGAAGACAGCAATATTACACATAATATGCATGCTGCTATCCTGAATGCTATGACTAATTCTAGAAACGACAAAGATGATGTGGGACCACAGCAAAGGATGCGTAGCTCTTCAGCAACCGAGGCCAGCAAACCAATCTTTGTCCAACGGCGTCATGCTGGACAAAAGTTTCATAATTTTTCACCCTTGGGTAAGTTTAAAATTAAGAAATTATTCATGCATCTTGACTTATTATCAGTTATGGTCTACTACAATTCCTTATCACAATTGTTAACTACAGAAACACTTTCAGTTATGTAAATAAGTTTATTGCACTTTCATAATATTTTAGTGTTTTACTTTTTATTTTGAGCACTTACCATTTAATGCAATAAAATATCACTGTACAAACAGAAATCATCTTCATGCAAATTCCTTTTTAAATCCGTGTGTAAGTTTTTACCCAAGACATTGGTCTCTACTATGATACAATACCATAACTGCACTATATTATATGCTTTAAAGATTTCAATTGAAACACAATATATGTACAACCATAAAGTCAGCTTCAGAATAACACATATGGGTTGCGGGTATTACAGAGGAACACAGGACGCACAAGGAGCAGGTGGAAGCAGTTCAGGAACAGGAGCAGTCTAATCAGACTCAGAGTACCTCTTCTTGCAATACAGTCACGGGTCTGTTTTCTGTCATTGTAGTTGTATTGCTTCATCTTCTTATGCGGGCGTTAAAGGGTGACAATTCAGGATAATCAGATTCCTCAGAGAATTATTGTTTCATTAGCTTATATACATTTGCCAGAATGTTAATGTTAAGTCATTATTGTGGTTTTCAATGGATGGTGTCATTCATTTCTTCAATTATGATCAAATGATGAAAAATATTCAGGTTTTGCCACATGTTTGGTAAAACTTCCAATATCATCATAAAGTAAATCTGAACTTTTATATTCAACTATTTAATCAATTGAATCTCATATTGGTATTCATAAAGGGAAAGAATTCCTGACTGTGTAAAATTATTACAATAATTTTATAATAGTCCAATTCTATCACATCATTTATAGGATTTTATCGATTGTTCCGCAAAAACGCGAAAGTTTCTAGTATTGCACAATATGTTTCAATACTGTTCACGTTGTATACGTACGAAGGATACCGCGTAGAACAGAATTGTGACCTTTGCACTCGTTTAAAAATAAAATACTACGACTTATTAGAAATTGATATTATTTTCTGTTAAAAAAAGAATATTTTTGCTGTTAAAGCTAATACACAGCAATTGTGAATCATCAATTTCAATGACCTTGAAATATGTTGTGAAGGTCCTTGTCACCAGTAACTTATATGATTAACCACCGTTCGGTTTTAATTTGAAAGATAGAAACATTTTAAGGTGTTTCCCAATCTACATCTCTAATATTATTATCTGTAAGATATGTAATTATCATATAGTCTGCTTAATCCGAACCTAGCATAGACACGACTATGTGTTTTGTGGATGGAGAAAAACATTCTTTAAAGCAATTGAAAAATATATCAAGTTATAAATATTACATATATTTAAAAATTCGTGTGAATTCATTTTAGTTGTATTTATTATTGTTTTTTAATACGCAATACGTGAATGACATAAATGGACAAACTGAAATAGAAAAACCATAGTACAAGGTTTGTGTACTACGTTCATTCTTGAAAGTTCCCATGAATTACAAAAAATAAACAAAGACGTCAAGATTAGATTAGATTCTTATTTGTTTAATATTAATATTACAGTTACATACTTTAGAAAATTTAACAAAATGTAATCAAAACATTTAATTAATGCAACGCAAAATATTTTTGCTGCTAATTCAGAATTGGTCGAAATAGTATAAGTCATTATTCTCCAAAAGACGCGTGTTTATAAATCAAGTATGACATGTAGTTAACGAATTCAATGAACAAGTTATTTGTCTGAAACTTAATATTGCATTGCAGTTTAAATATAACTAGAATGTGAATTTTATGCACCTCTGACAAAAATCAGAATAATTGTATCAGTAAAAAATTAGAAAGATTTAATGCAGCCGATATATTATTTTTATATATAGAACAGAATTTCTATTTGGTACTGCAATCTAATTGTAAATACAGTTATTTCTCCCTAATTCGCGCTCAGATTGCGCACAAAAACGAACAGTTTGAGAAGAGGAGATACGATTATCCGAATCTTATGTCTCGTTTTTATAGTTGTTGACAATCGGTAACTATAAGAACGAGCCGCAAGAGTCGAATAATCGTATCACCTCTTCCTAAATTGTTCATTTTTGTGCCCAAACTGAACGTGAATTAGGGAGAAATTACCGTAATCTTTTGCAGAACTAATAATTCTAACTTATACTCTTCTACTCTACTATCGTAGATACATAAATTAAATTACTCGGTTGACATTGACCTTTGTAACGTATTTCCAGCATATTGCAGTCTGCGCGGCGTGGTGTACCGTTTTGTAAAAAAATCGCCTAATTCTCGTTACTATTAACATCGTAAGAGCTAAATTTTATGAACAATATATAAAAGGAAAAGAAATAGTTGTATGCAAGTGAGAGCTGTATGGTTTGCAGCCGTTGCTGGTACCGGGGCTGGAACTGCTGGGATTGCCTCGACTAATACCAACTGTGCCACTACCACTAGACGTCGTCATTCGGTAGCGAGTCATCCCAATTTCCTGAATAATCCCCAATCCATTCATGTTACGACTACAACTACAACTACAACAACAACCACCTCTATCACCGTCACTACGACCGCTACCGTGACCACCACAACCACAACCGCGACAATATCCCATCAGAGAACCCTGTCGCTGCCCTTAGCCGCAGTTATTATCAATCAAATGCAATCATCTAAAAGATCAGTTTTACGCTGTATGTATTTTTATTTGGTCATACGATAAATCAGCAAAAGACTCATTGTTTCTCTTTAAGTGTCTCTGCCTCGCTGCCTCCTGTTTTCTGTTCCACCCTCAATATCTACTTCTTGATCCCTCTGATCGTACTTAAACAATCGCAACAAAAGCTGCCTAGCCAAATCGAAAACTGTCGCTGCTTCGTTACACAATATTCTGGTTCTCCGCGAGTTTCTCGCGTTCTGCCGTAGACATGTCGGACGCTTCTTCTCGCATGCATCAGTTGCACGACAAATCATAACAAGGTTTCGCTTTGTTTCTTCCGTTTCTTCGTCGTGGAGAGCGATCAGCGGCATATCCGCCGCCGCCGCGTGTCTTTCGAATAATATTTTCTTGCGTTATTTTTGTTCTCTCCGTATGCGACACTTTCTTCCCTGACTGTTTTTTTGCAATGCCTTGTGCATCGGTGACATTTTATCTGGTTTCTTCAGCCAATTTGGAACAATCTGTTTTTTATCATTATTCACTGCTTGTATCCAAAATATATGTATAAATGAATAACATACTGTATACATGAATATGCATAAATATATATATATACAAGTTTTTATATGGAATTATTTGGAAATGCAAACGAACTAACCGCTGCTATGCTGGGAGGATGGATGTTTTTCACATTTTATTTTCTGGATTATGTTTTATGAGACTGTGTGACTGACTATTGTCGTTTTAGGTCCGAACGGTCGTGACAGATGCGACAGTTTGCCGTCGAGGGCCCGCACCACTAGCGAAAGTCATCCTACAACGGTACTGAGTCATCCTAGGAGTACTCATTTTGTACCTCACATACTGAGACCCCATTCGATGTGCGGGGGAAAACCTCTTTCCTATTCACCACCGATCACCTCGATGCCTATCAGTCCAGCTTCTGTGGCCTGTTCTACAGATTCTGCGGGATCGTCCTTTTCGATGGACGATGGTGGCGAAAACGCTTTAGAAGAGAGCGCGGTATCGAGATATGGACACTCGTTAACACCTGACGAGCCGGTCATATTAGAGGAGAACGGCGACGATTACGCCGCCTGGTCCATATCGCACTCACATAATAAATATTCACCGAACTTTAAATCTCATTCTCCTTCCCAGGTGGGTGGAGGTTTACGCACCATTTATGTAATTACAAAGCAAACGGCTCGCGATTTAACGTCTACAATTTTTGCTGTCTTTGGCAGCAGAGTTCCTATATAGATATGTACAGTCCTTGTGGATCGAGTCCTGGCCGCAGCGGAGCCTACATGCAAATGAATTCAGGAACAGGACACTCGCATTCACGAGGCACATCCTTAATTGAGGAGAGTAGCACTTTACCAGAGGGTTATGTACCTATGGCGCCCGTTGGAAACAACGGATACGTCGATATGGATCCTTCACATAGTCATAATGGCCATTTTCCTGATGATATGTCGCAACACGGTGGCAGTAGTTGTTCTGTCACTTCTGGTACACCTAGTACGGACTTACGATTCTCCGAATATCATTTGGATAAAGTGTCGAGTTTTCTACCTCCTGGGGATGACTTAACTAGACCAGTTAGAGCCTATTCCATCGGTTCTCGACCGGAACCTTCAAATAGGCATCGTAAAAATAGGTATCGAATTTTATATGCATGGTAATCAGTTAATAGGTATATTATATTTTCCCCATAAACAAAATGCGAATGCGCAACTTCTCAATACTAATCGACTACTACTTTTCAATGTAGCCCCTGAACATCTGACAATCCATTGTCATTACGATTTCCCGACAATATTTTAAGGCTTCATCTACCGATGTTCCATAATAGTTCTTTATAAAATGAAGATAAATAATTATGATTTTCTAATTAATTGTTCGTTAGAAATAGCAATTTTATTCATCAAACAAAGACAATAGGATTAAGCTTCAATTGAACGTAGTATGGATGTTGTCGAACCTATTAATAGATTTTTAAACAAATTTATTTCTTAGGGATTTCCTTAATACCATTCTTGAATTCTATACAATATCTAATGACTGTTTGTGCGACTTTGTTTATATACAGTAGTGTGCAAAAGTTCTCGCACAGCTTTAAAACGGAATAATTTTCTTAAAATTGGACTAAATGACTTAAATTTTTGTTTAGATTACAATAACTAGACAATAACTAAAATATTTTTTTAATTCTGCTATTCTTTGGAATGACAAAAAATAAAAATCTCGCTTTATAACTTTTTTATTTGAGTGTATAACGGAAATTTAAAAAATGCGTTTTGTAGATCTTATATGCATATTCAAAAATTTATCGGTTAACCCAAAGTCAAGCTACAGATGTTGAAAGATGTAAAAATCTGCAGATTTCTTACAGTTTTGGTCGGAAGTGTCAAAAATCGTGACAAAACTGCGACTTTCGCGATCTTTAATCAATGTCAACCGAATTCGATGAAATTTTCAAGACATTTGAGTTCTTCCATGGTATTTTATTTAATCAAGGTTAAAATGAATCAAACAATTTCAATTATAGTTTTCAGTTTTAGTTTTATTCTTTCTAATCAAAGTCGCATAAAGGTTATTGGATTCTTTTTGACTTTTAATTATTATGTACGTATAAACTCCAAAAATTAGACCTTGAAAATGTTATTTTTTCCATAATGTTTGTCATTTTAAATCTTATCATGTTTCCTTCTGACATTTTTCTCTATTATCTATAATAATATATGATTCACCCATGCACTGGAATTGAAACTTGTTATACATCGATAATATAATTTAGGAGGATGCGTAACTTACTTATTGATTGACTTTTGAATTAGTGTAGTACATCTTTTCCTTTTAAATCTAAAATTATTGTATAATATGCTACAACTTAATTTTTCCTTGAAGTACTGTGGAAAGTGCTGACTCTTTTACATAATGAGAAGGAGTTCGATAATGTGGAAAAGATTTTGGAGGATGTTCAAAGAGGTGATCATTGGTTATTACTGAGTTAATAATTCAAAGCCAAGTCTAAAATGTTGCATTGGTGGATATTGAAAATAAAAAGAGAAAGAGACTGTCGAACCTCAATGACGTGAAAATTAGGTTGACTTCGCTGATCATCACTTCGAACATCTGTGCATACAAAAATTTGTTCCTTTTTATCTAGACATTGACGTAAAATAAATGTCTTATGTCTTTAGTGTGGTAGCACTCTGTTCTGAAACTTGTAATTGTTTTGATGTGAAATTTCGCAAATATTGCACGGTATAAACAGGTTCATTTTGTGTATTATGCAGTATGGACATGTTTTGAATCATCTGTTTTTCATAGGTTGGATATTACTCAACAAGAAGCGAGTCGGGTACGAGCATTCTCTGTAGGCAGTAGATCTAAGAAACCGGAGATTGGGAGGTTTGCGAATATAATAAATGCAGCAATGTTAACTGGCTCTGATAACCCAAATTCCAGCAAGTCGAATTCAGCACCATTGTTGTCCAGTTCTTGGGGACATAACTCTGGTTGTTCTGTAAATTCGGAGCGTATGGAGGATTTGATGGAATTGGACTTCACGAAGCCTAGTATTTCTACGACTTTCAATTCATCACCTTCGTCATATTCGCAGTCACAATCACGGTCATATTCTTATTCTACTGCCAATGACACCAGTTCCTATGTTGATATGTCTCCTGGACAACCGCCCTCATCGAACATTGCTCCTTACGTCGATATGAGCCGCATAAATAAGGTACCTTCGAATTTAATTAAGATTATAAATGTTTACAGATTTTTTAATAAGAAAGTAGATGAAACTTTTGATGTAAATCATAAACGTAGTGAATGCAATGTGATTATATAAATATTTATTAATTCTAGAGAATTGCTATTGAATTTTAATACTTCAATTTTTCAGATCAATCGTAATAACAATAATAATACAATCACTGCCAATCAAAATCATAGTCACATACATATATCATCTTCTGCTTCTACACATAAACCTATAATTACTACTTTGAAGCCGGTGGAGGAAGCAGAAGCGCCATATGTAAGAATGGATGGAGTAGTCGAAGATTGGTCCCAATCCAACACAAGTCCTAAACAAATTTCGTCGCCTATGCAAGAAGAATGCGTGCAATCAAATGGACCACCAGGTATAGATTCTAGTGCATTTAAAATTCTATATATTGCAAAAGTCAGAAAAAAGTTTAGTGTCTTGGAAAATGTCACTTATGAAAAATATTTTAAAGTCTTTTCGGCGGGACAATGGTGCTGATTATGAATACTTTGTACGGGAAATAAAAATTCAAAAAGATGTCCTATAGTAGAAAATTTTAATAAGAAGAAAAATTGAGAATTTACTGAATTGTGGTAATTATTACATTGACTGCCGCGACGATCATATGTGCTTGACACAATTCTTCATCCATTTTTAAAACTTAATTCTTATCATAACACATCTCTGTAAACCAAAGCTTATTAGAATTTGCAGAATCTAAAAAGTTTAAAGAAGTAATCGTCGTGTTCCATTTCAACTTTTCGTGTAACATTAATTATATGTTTGCATAAATAAAACGAAACTTAACAATTATTAACACACTTCGTAACTGTTGTTTGAGCCAAATCGAAATTCTTATTGTCGATAAAAGTTGTGACCTGCAATGATTTTTATAAATCAATAATTTTACTAAAATGTAGTAGACATAAACATTGTCATGCAAATAAATAACTATTCGTGCTACTCAAAAGTACGAATTGCTTGGAATAATCTAGAATTATCAACATATGTAAAGTCCAATTCAAGACATTGTTATGACTTTGATTAATTTCGACTATAAATTTTCATTTCTTAAAGTAAGAGAGCTACTTAATCATTGAATCGTAATGAATTTTAGGTGTGACGAGAACTGCACCGGTTGATCTTCCACGGCGGCCGCCTGTCGACTATGTTGATATGAATTTCAAATCAAGAACAATTCTAGAACAAGATTATATGAACATGGACTTGAGTAATCGAAACAATCGCAAAACAACGCGGACAGGTAGTCGTAAGGAAAAATTACGTTCGCAACCGATTGCGATTCAAGCGGGCAACAAACCTTTAAAAACACCTAATTTCTTACCCTTGAATGGAAGTCCGGAATCGGAAAGTTTAGCAAGTACTCCTGCATCGCCTCCGCGGGCGACACCAACAGGTTCCTCGGCAACAATCTTCCCATTCTCTCTGAATAGTCCACAGTCACCCGAAAAGTCTTTTGGCCATCAAAAGAATAACGAGGAATCTTCGGCATTGAGTATGACTATCAAAAACGATCGAGCGATTGTGGAATCAGCGAATAGGGTGAATTCTGTTTTGGTGACCGAAGGAAGTAGCTTGTCGAAGGTAATCAACGATAGACCGTCTAGTCCTGCAGGAAAGGATAACCGAGTGATATCGAATTTGTTATCGTCGCAAGAGAATATGTTGTACTCTCTAACGAAAAACTTCGCCGATTTGACCGTATCGAAGCCCCGTTTAATAACCGCATCTCCTAACACCAGTCCCACGTTATCCGGGTTTAAAACAACGGAAAATGCAGAAAAGCAGCCGACGTCGCCGAAAATTCTGGAAGAGACGCCAACACCTACACCTACGGCTACGTCAAGTCCATTAGAGAATGAAAATTTCGATAAACTACAGTCGGATGCAACAAATTTGCACTACGCTAGCCTTGATCTTCCGGAGACTGGAAGCGTGGCGCCAGTATCGCCAGCGACTCAAGACAGCTTCAATTATGCTGAAATCGACTTCCAGAAACTTAAGCCAAATTAAAACGCCATCTTGGATGCGAGTAGCTGTATCGGTGTAACGTGTTGTAGCGTGACAGAGTGCGGATGAATGGTAAAAGCAGACAAGTAAATAAAATATTAGGTAATTTGGAGAAAAATCGGCATTTCTTTTCAAATTTTTGGAAGATGAGATACAAAAATATAATCACAACCATTGGTTGTCTATATCTGAACCACAGAGCCAGAGTGTATTTATTTGTTTTAAAGTGAAATTTTAGGTCTTTCTCGTAACAAATCTTTTAGTCTTCCTACTGACGTAAATGATTTTTTTGAAAGTCATTTTTAATATAACGATGAGAATATTTCTGCTTCGGAGAAGTAGAAGATCTTCCATTGAAGCGCAGAGAAAGCTTTATCACAAACTATTTTTTCAAAAATTACTAAATTATCACCGCTCTCATACCGTGTAGTACTAAAAGTTTTTTAAATTTTAAGTCCTCTATTGATTTTTTACTTTGAAGAACAACATTCTTCAATATATTATTTCACTTTTGTAAAATAAAATGATATATTTTTTATCAGGTTTGCTTTGTTGTTCTCTTTTAGATTTTGAAAAGTATTACCACTTACTGGGGTTCACAGTCGGTTCAGATATATCATTCTATGGTTTATAGCGAATGAGGAAAAATATATAGAACAATAATAATTGTGATTATGTTGTATTTCACCTCCTCGATATATGAAAAGAAATTCGCATCGATTCTGAGATGGTAACTAATTTTTGGCAAGTAGAGAGAATGAGAAAAAGAGAAAAATAGGAAAGTACTTGTGTATAGAGGAAACAATTCATAGGATTTCCACGCTGATTCCTCCTACTGTGAGTTTGCGCAATGCAACGGTCATTTGCGCTTGGTCCGTTTACACGTGTTCTTGGGGTGCTGAATTGGCTCATTGTTTTATCTGTTGTTATTAAATAACTTACAGACATGGCAATCGATCGTTCTAACATTGCCTGAGTTTGAAGGACGAATCGCCAGGATGTTGAAATACGAACTGTACATAGAAAATTCTTTTTAATCCAAATTGAATCATGATCGTTTTATCTATCGTATGGTCCTGACTTTTCGTCAGCCAGATTGGTACTTATTCTTCTGATTACGCGGAATCCGGCGTTGTTTCTTTTTTACCTGCATGTAGTATATGTTATAAGAATTTTTGAATTCTTGATATTGGAACGTTGATTTGTTTCTTTATTTTCTTTATTATTATTATTATTATTTCTTTCTTTTAACGAACTATTTGTGATGAGAATTACTGATATTATCTACGAATTTTAAATTTTATCTTGTTCCTCCTGTTTTTCTTGCACCAATCTTATCGTCTGTAGTAGGACTTTAATGCAAGCGGAAAATGTTTTTGTTTAGTCGAATCTGAATAGCATTTATCGGCTCTGTTGCTAATGTATACCTTTTAGGATCCAGAGTGATTATTACAATTGTTATTGCTAATCATGTTACATTTTAGTAAATTCGATTGAGTTCATGCGAGCACGACGCGTTATCAGAAACATGAGTACTAATTAGGATCGTTCGAGTGCGGTGCAGCTGACCAATGTTGGATCGATGAAAGTCAGCGAGAGTTTCTATTTGAAACTAGTAGATGCTCCTCAATGCGAATTATAAATATGTGTTATCATGCTTTTCCGTATAAAATTATTAAATGACTGCAATTAACGATGCGGTCACGCGCGCGCTTAAATGTCACACATAGAGGACACATACACAAGCATTTACAGGGTATTCTGTAAAAGATGGTACAACTGCAAAGAAAGGGAGAGAGAGAGAGAGAATGAGAGAAATGATTGGTTATGTAAAAAGAAACAAAAGAAAACTGTAAAACCAATCTTACAATGTTGTTGCCGAGAGTAGAAGAGAAAAATATTTCTTAATATTGTTGCGGAGGCTTCTGCTTCTCCTCGCCGGTGAACACATTTTATAATAAAGAACCGGGGATGTAACTATTTATTTACAATAACAATTAACAGTTATAATTATTAAGTCTGTAATATATTAATCGTTATACGTCTTCTCTTTCTGACGTCTCGGATCGACCTGCCGATCTTCTCGTCAACTACCCTGTTGACTGGAAACCACAATCCTCGATTCGGAAGTCAACTTCTCTTGATCGAATGGTTCCAATTGAACGATCTTTGCGATGCCCTCGGGATATCGCAGGGGAGGCAACTTCACTGCTGTCATAATTTCATATCGTCGTAACAATATTATCACGTTTTATGAGTTTGATTTTATGACATACTTCTCCTCGCATACAGTTTAAGGATAGTTCGGTTATAAATTATATCATATCGTGTATATACATATGCATTGTCTAAATGATGCTGTATATATACGTGTACGCGTATGCATGCCCGGTTTGCATGCATATGCATATGTATATATATATAGCATTGCTAAGTATATTTAATGATGAATAAAGCAGTATATATTGCTGTTGTTCATTATACATATGATCCTTCTGATGTGATTCCTTCTTTTTTGAAGGTTTTCTTTTTTCGCGAGACGCGTTTATTGTACCGGCGCGGCGTATGATGATGTTGTTGTTTATGTGTACATTGTCAGATTTAAGATTATTATTTCGACTGATGCTAGAACTAACGTAAGTCTTTTATTTAATTCAAGGCACAAGTTGTCTACATTTTTTCCGTTGCATATTAACAGAATGTCCGTCCACTCAAAATAGAATTCGCGTTCTACGATTCCTTTTTAGTTTCTCGGTGAAAAGAGTTTTGTTTGATTTTTTCAGAAAAAAGAAAGCTATTAACAATGTAAATATAGACTCTCCGAACTTGAATGTTGGAAGAATTTTATTTGCCGAATGTAGTTTGTATGACGTTATTGTTTTTACAAAATCTTCGGAATAATGAATTTAAATATAATAATGTTACGTTAATGCCAAATAAGATACTAAATATCGTTAATACATGAGAAATCAGTATTCATTTTTCATTAGAAGGCAAGTGCATCCTTTTTCAAAGTAACGGATCTATGAGCTCAAGTTAAGTAGGTAACTGCTAGCGCATCGTTTCTAGTATTGTATCTATAATTTCTAAATTAATAATTATATTAATAATAAAAAACAATAATTTATAATTTATTTTTTAATTACGAAGAGATTACTTTGAACGCTTATTATATGAAGGCTCTTTGAATTTCAACTTGAAAGATTAGATTTCCAGTTTTGTTACAAAGTCTACAGTTAAAAAGAAGGACGTTCTTTTAAACGTTCTCGTAAACATCTTCTTGTTCCTTAATTTAACGTATTATTTCGTAATAATTATACAAGATCAAATTTGAATTGAAATAAATAATTGTAATCTGTGTTTTATAAAAATCACGATCACATTTCATGTTTATTTAAACTAAGATAAGCGTTTTATGTCCACTTTGATAATTGACAATTCTTATGGTCTTTTTGGTAATAACAACATAACGAACCTATAGTCATGGGTATAGTAATTTTTTCAAATATCTAAAACTGAGAAGTGAAGATTGATACATTTTAATTAATATAAAACGTATTCATTTGCAATTGTTGCACTGTTCAAGCAATTCCGATTAAAATCTAGTGACTGTAAATTAATTAAGCGTAACTTTAGATTTCAGTTTTGATGGTTCAAATAACTTCCAATCATAATATTTATACTATGACATATTAGATCACTAACAATAAGTGGTGTTGAAAGATCAAACATACAAACACACACACGAAGAAAAGGTAAGTAGGTATAAGAGTATTACGTAACTTTATAATTCCATTGATCACATTTGTAAATGTTACGTCATAAATAAAGAGGGTGGTTTTTCTTTATGCTCGTTAGTAATCGAACATTCTTTTAACAACTTCTTTAATATTAGACCCTATGGCTCGAATTTTGTTGAGATGTTAGAAGAATTAGTTTGCAAAATTGTAATTGATTGATATAATAAAAAAAAGATAAAAGCGTTACGTTTTCAAACTTTGCTACTTAAGTTTCGTAGATTTTAATCATTCAAGTTTCTATTAGTTTTTAGCGGCGGTTATGTCCATTCATTTCGTTTGCTGTATTTTTTAAGTATTTTCGTAAATTCTGGTTTCCTTCAGGTACTTTAGAGCTGCTATTATTTTGTCGCATCTGTTTTTCACGCAAATCAGTATAGTTATTTTATAGCATCATAAAGAGTCGACAGTGACACTGAAAAAAGTAGTAGCATTTCGAAAACTACATGCAACATCATACTAAATATTCTTGGTTCTCGGAAACATAAAAAATCTAGGGATGTTCTATCATATTGCCGCGTAATGTACGGGCACTCGATAAAATTTTCTGACACCTCTTGACACTTGACAGTGCATGTCCGAATTCGCGACAATTACTCACTGAAATGTATTGTTAATAAAATGAATATGATATTCATTCTTACACAGAAATTAAACATAACGTGTATTACACATGTAGCTGGCGACAAGGAGAGGGGTAGAAGCAATAATCAATAATATTTACAGTGTTCGCAGTTAAGGGTTGAAATGAAATAATTGTTTTCAAAAGACTCGAGTTTTCTGAGATGTTAAAGCGACTAGTTTATTGCAGAATGTTTAAACAAACTTTTACAAATATTACAATTAATTTAAATGACAAAGTAAATTAAAAGATGATGTTTTAACTTTTTTTATCTGAGCTTGTAACGAAAATTTAAACAATCCGAGACGGATTAGGTAATAGCGAGAAGGGTGTTAACTTATACAGTATCCCACAAAAGTGTTCCGATACCTTTTAAAACGCAATAACTTTTTTAAAATCGGACTAAGTAACTCGAATTTTTTTGAGATGATAACGGAACTAGTTTACCAGACGGTGACCGAAATGCTTTTTTTAAGTTTTGTTACTACTTGGAATGATAAAAGAAAATCAAAAACTCTCGTTTTTTACATTTTTAATCTGAACCTATAACGGAAATTTAAAAAATGCCTCTCATAGATCTCGGTAACTTATATGCATGCTGAAAATTGTATCGAAATCGGTTGACGTTGTTGTGAATCATAACAAATTAAAGATGGCAAAAATCGCAGTTTTATCACGATTTTGACCAAAAACTGGAAGAAATGTGCAGTTTTTAAAATCTTCTGACGCCAGTAGCTCAACTCCGGATTAACCGATTTCGATCAAATTTTCAGCATGCGTATAAGTTACCGAGATCTACGAGAGGCATTTTAAAAATTTTTGTTATAGCCTCAAATAAAAAAGTTAAAAAACGAAAGTGTGTCATCTTTCTTCGTCATCCCAAGTAATAGTAAAATTTAAAAAAGGCATTTTAGTCATCATCTAGTAGACTAGTCCCTCTATCACTTAAAAAAAATTCAAGTCACACAGTCGAGTTTTAAAAAAGTTGTTGCGTTTTAGAGGGTGTACGAACACTTTTGTGGCCCACTGTACATCAATTTGTCATTAACACATTCGCCACCAACGTCACCGGCATACATAATTNTGTATCGAAATCGGTTGACGTTGTTGTGAATCATAACAAATTAAAGATGGCAAAAATCGCAGTTTTATCACGATTTTGACCAAAAACTGGAAGAAATGTGCAGTTTTTAAAATCTTCTGACGCCAGTAGCTCAACTCCGGATTAACCGATTTCGATCAAATTTTCAGCATGCGTATAAGTTACCGAGATCTACGAGAGGCATTTTAAAAATTTTTGTTATAGCCTCAAATAAAAAAGTTAAAAAACGAAAGTGTGTCATCTTTCTTCGTCATCCCAAGTAATAGTAAAATTTAAAAAAGGCATTTTAGTCATCATCTAGTAGACTAGTCCCTCTATCACTTAAAAAAAATTCAAGTCACACAGTCGAGTTTTAAAAAAGTTGTTGCGTTTTAGAGGGTGTACGAACACTTTTGTGGCCCACTGTACATCAATTTGTCATTAACACATTCGCCACCAACGTCACCGGCATACATAATTGTACAATATCTATTGTATTTATCGTACTAAATACATCGTATCCTCTTATAAAATACGATAAAAATCTTGACATGAGTGATATTCTCTAAATATTCATAAAGTGAATTTAACGTTCTTTGCGCGAAATACAAAAACGTGATCGTCTCACATGTGAAACATCGGTAGCGAACGTGTTAATAGTAAATTAATAAAGGACTGCATGATCTTAAACTCAAAAAAAGAGGTATACAGACATTGCCAAAGTATGTGTTCGCGTGTGTCGAACCACCCTCAAGAAAGAAAACGCAAGAAAATTCACTTAATTTTCGGGGAACGAACTTAATTTTCCCACACGAAGTTTTCTAAATATCTAAAATATCGCAAAACCGAATCGAGAAAAATTCCGCGTGGCAATCAATTGCGCAAAGTCAAATAAAAATCGCAGCCCCCGATTTTTCCGATTTTCCTCTGGCAGATTGATTGAACAGCGCTTAGGTTCTTGTTAGCGTCTCTCTGGCTCTCATTAACGGTCCCAAACAGACGTGGTCCGTCCAGAATCGTTAAATCCGTACGCCTGTTTAACGGGTGTGCCATCTAAACATCGATAACCGGAAAGTCACGATAAATTCCATTGACGAGTACCGGTTCTGCCGTGAATGTCGAGCGGATTACGTGCCGGCTGAGCGAAAAGGGGGATGAAGCGTGCGTGTTTACGGAAACTGTTAGAATTCCATACGCCTGAAGTAGCCTCCCCACTGCGTTTCCCTTATTTGCACCAAATTGGCCCGTCCCCGTCGTCACGGACGCGTCAAGGTACTTAACTGCAGGTAAACATACCCTAAATCACGAGCCGGGATAAAGGGAAGAGGAGCGGGTCTGCCTTACTCCCTCGTAAAATTGCCCGTATCGCGAGCACCTATTGTTGCGTACTTGTGTAAGCGTCCGCTTCTGTATAAGCCCGACCTTTGTGTCGTTTGAACTGTGTTCTTGTTACGGCAGAGGTATACGAACCTGGACGATGCTGATTTTTACTGATCTCAAGCCAGCCGGGACTGCTGTAGTGCGGACTGCTTTATCGTATTTGCCCGAAATTTCCTTTAATCACCTTTTAATTGGCCCGACCGAATTGCCTTAACCTCGGAGTTTACAGCCCCAGTTTCACAGCCTCGAGGCTGTGCTCGGCTTTTCGGCAATTTTCAAATCTCGGTTCCCATTGGGTCGCTGCTTACGAACCGTTGGAACTTTTTCTGAGACGAATAGGATTCAGCAAAAAGAACACGATCCAGTTGCGTTCGTCGTTTGTAAGCTTATAATTTCAACTCTTTGATTGCCGACACGACACATACAGTGAAACACGTTCATATTCCGACACTTTTCAAAACGCAGTAAATAAAAATTAAAAATAAAATTTTTTTAAAGATAATACAGCGACCAGTCTGCTATATCATAACTAGAATGCTTTCTTTTTAAATTTTTCTATTGCTTAGAATGATAAAAGAAAATCAAAAACTCTTGATTTTTTAACTTTTTTATCCGAGCCTATAACGAAAATTTAAAAAATGTGTTTTATAGATCTCGGTAAGTTATATGCATATTAAAAATTCCATCGAAATCGGTTGACCTTTGTATGAACTGTAAACAATTAAAAATCGCAAAAATCGCAACTTGTCTTGATTTTTGACACTTTCCATCAATAAGTCTGAGAAATTCGCAGATTTTACAATCTTTTAACGCTTGTAACTTGACTCTGCGTTGATCGATTTCGACGAAATTTTGAGACTTCCCGAAATCTACAAAAACGCATTTTTTAGATTTTCATTATAGGCTCAGATAAAACAGTTAAAAAACGAGAGTTTTTTTATTTTGTTTTGTCATTCCAAATAATAGCAAAATTAAAACAAAGTAGTTTCATCATTGTTTAGTATACTAGTCCCTCTATCAACTAAAAAATATTCAAATTGTTTATTCTAGTTTTAAAAAAGTTATTGCGTTTTAAAAAGTGTCGGAATATTTTAATGGAAGACACTCTATGTATGAATCTGCTACAGTTATTTGAAGATAAATATAATATCTATCCACTGGAAATGGTGAATTTGAAATAATGCATTTTTTCGTTATTTTCAAACAATAACGTTGGCACTTCTGCTAACTTTTATTATTATTTATTTTAT